CCGACTATATCAAATATCCCGACTACATCAAAATCCCGACTATATCAAAATCCCGACTATATCAAAATCCCGACTATATCAAAATCCCGACACAAATCCCGACTATATCAAAATCCCGACTAAATCAAAATCCCGACTATATCAAAATCCCGACTATATCAAAGATTTTTATATAATCGGGATAATGATAAAGTCGGGATTTTGATGTAGTGGGGATATTGATATAGTCGGCATTTTTATATAGTCGGGATATTGATATAGTCGGAATTTCAATTGCCACCGAATAAAAATATGGATAACATTTGTATAAACTTTGATTTATTATTACATAAATTTATTTGTGAATGAAGAAAATAATTATAATAATATTATATTAAAAAAAATGTATTTTGTAAATGAATATAGTTGAAATACGAAAAACATATATATTTCTTTTGTTTATTGTAATTTATGCACTCAGTAATAAAGGAATTTAACATATATAAGTAAAAACCACGATAAAGTATGGTAAGTATATTTTGAAATTTTTAAAATTCGCTCGACTTACGAACAGATTTGACTTACGAACAACCCTTTGGAGCGGAACTAGTTCCTAAGTCGGGGGACACTTGTACTTGATTGTGGGTTCAAAGTAATGGTTTGCAATGAATTACAAATTATATTTTATCACTAACAGTTTACTCGTTTATAATCTTTTTTAATATAACTGCAAAACTTTCACTTTAGTCATATTTTTACAATTTCCAAAATAATTCTAACTTAACAAATTATTATCTATAACGCGTAATAAAGTGGAATTTAGAAAATAATCTTTAGACATTGCGAAACGTGTGTTAAAAGGTTAGATAAAAATATGTGATAAATTTACACAAATTTTGATTTATTTTTATGTAACTTTATCTGTGATTTTATGTTGAAACTAATTATTTATAATATTATTGATTTTCTAAATAATTATAATTATCTAAATAACTTTACAGTAATTGAAATGAAAATATGATTGTTACATTTGGTTTAGGTTTATAGAATTCTTGTTTAGAATAGTTCTTTGTCTGATTTTTATATTAATTTTCAATTTATTTTATTTTTCATGAAATTATGTTTTTTTTCCGATTATTATTATTATTAATGAATCAATCTTCGCTGTTTTGTGAATTATTGTGAATTTATTGTAATGAAATGAACGTTGCAACATTATAATTGAATAAATGGGTTATGAGGTAGTTAAAGTAATGATTCTCAAGGTTAAATACGTTTATTTAGCGCACATCAACAAACAAAAAAATAACACATCGACACAAAAGCTTTCGCTAATTCTTAATTACAAGGTAATTACTCCATTCAAGCAACAATGTTTCCAATCAATGCGTCTCCAAAATAACTGCAAGATTGTCAACATCACCATTATCCAAGGTTCTGTACTCCAAGTCCCAAGAGCTCGTCAAAATGAGTGCTTCGTTTTCGATCAACTCAATCTGCAGAGGGTCGCAATCCTGTTCGCAGTCGATGGGAATCAAATTAAACAGATTGGATCCGACCATCTGCAGCACCACGGCCAACGTATCCTTCAAATCGATCGGTTTGAATTTCCCGCTTTCGTAGTGTTTACTCAACAAGATCCAGCTGTACTGAATCGGTGCGGTTTCTGCGGGAAGAAACCGAGGCCTCGACACGATCTCCCTGAACGCTTTCACAGCGTAAAAATCGCAGTTTTGGAAGTGCATGAAGTATTGGTCGTATCCCAAAGTTGCCTCTAACAGATCTTGAACATTGTCGCGTCTCTTCAAGTTCGTGGCTAATTTGCAAGGACTCGAATCTGCATACGTTTCGATCTCAAAAATATCCTTAATCATTTCATCGCTACTGTTGTATTTAGATTCGTTCAATTTAAGCACTACCGGCATGTTTAAGTCTATGTATTGATCCTGCAATGATTTGAAAGAAGTCGTGAATGGAATTGCGGTTGTGGTTTCGCAAAAGTAGCATTCCTTCGATGATTTCATTGTGGTTTTCGGGATCAAACAACGCTCGTTCTTCAACAGCTGCCAATCGTAGAACGGGAGTAACTTAATCATTAAAATACGACCAATCGCAGTTAAATGCCAAGAAACTGTTTCGATGTAACTGAGATAATACAAAGCAGTTATAAACAATACCAAGTAAATAGCCGAGCGAAACTTCATCGGCGTTCGTAGAGGTTTGCAAATCTCCGCGATCTCATCGCGACTCAAATTATTCGTAACGCAATATTCGTGGAACAGTTTCAAATCTTCTTCGATCTGCTTTAAAGACGACATCTACAAATAAAACAATAACTTTAACTTCAAATATATAATTGTTAGGAGAAACTCACCGTTGGAAGCAACAGATTGTCGACGCGCAACAGCTTTCAAGGAACTAAGAGCGTTTCATCTCACAGTTTCATCCCTTTGGGCATGCTTTAAATTATCGATCACTTCTAAACCCTCTCTCGTTTTTTTTTATTTTTCTATTCATTTACCACATGATTTATTGAAAATCCCGGCAAACGCCTATTTTACTTTTAACCGACACATGCAATTATAGTTTACAAAAACTTTCGAACATCGCTCTGAAATATTCATTATAATTCCCTATATAAATATAAAATGCAAAATCAATTCGAATACATTTGTTGAAGTAACGATGAAGCCGACTTGGTCTAAATATTTTTACAGCCCGCTGATGAATCTCGCGTGGGCTGGAGTTAACATTTACGAGGTTTCCGAAAGTAACGTTTGGAGATGGGTTTACAAGATTTATACCGCGATTTTCATGTTTCTGTTTGTCTACGGTTACACTTTAACTGAAATCCTGCACGTTCTCAAGCATTTCAACCATTTGGAGGAAGTCACTTTGACTTTATGCTACTTGATCGCTCATTTTATTGGTAAATTTAAGTGGAATACGATTGATTTCGTTTATTGAATTTGCATTTATAGCCATTGGTAAAATGATCACTTTGATGGTGAATCGGGTGAAAATTGGGAAATTTTTAATGTCTTTGGAAAACGACCCGTTTTTACCGCTCGAGGAAAGAGGTGGAATTGCAGAGAGACGAATTATCGATGAAGCTAATATTCAAACGCTAAGGATTGTACGTATATAATATTAACAACTGATTAAATAAAATAGAAATCTTATAAATTAGTAAATTTCAAATACATCAACGAAATTTTGGAAGTAGACTAATTATTTCGTAATAATTACACTAAATATAAATTAGAATCCAGAATACAGCAACATCTAACTAATTTATGGTACAAAATGTTCACTAATAATTATTTTATCATTTTTTTCTTTCTTTTCTGACCGGTTTTTATTTTCATATTATTTCCTTTCTACTTCATAAGATCTTTCAAATTAAATTTTAGTTTGTTGTGAAATGAGCACGATTTTAATTTTTATAATTATTGAAACATTCAATATTTCTAAATAAGATGAGATATTGATACTAACAACATTATTTTTCAAGAAATTTTAAAATATTTTGACAAAAAGAAAGTAATTCCATCAAAATTAGATTGAACTATCATATGAAACCAAGTAAACTTAAAATAATATAAAAAACAGAAGAAAACATAAAAAATGCAATTATTAAATTATGTAACTAAGTTAATAAATAAGAGCTTTGGGCTTTATTTATCAATGTTTTAGGCCTGATGAAGATCAGACTTAAAGTTTTATGATCATATCTTGCTTGTCGTCAAAATTTAAAAAGAATAGTAAATTTAATTGTAGAAAAATAATTAATAAAACCGTCAAGTTTTTAAAAAATGTAAGATTTTCCTTAATAAGTTCAAATGTCTAAATAGATGTCTGTATGTAAAAAAGGAAAGATTTATGGTTTTTAAAATACGGTAAGTCTCAGGTAAACAATTTACGTTACGGCTAAGTAATTGTAGCTGTTATGTCAGTTTATCTGTCATAGAAATCCATGGTAACAAATGCAGTTCTGTTTAACTGTCAACGGAATCCATGGTAACAAACACTAATTGATAGGACCCATAAATACCTTTTAGTTGGAATATATGGAACCGAAATCGTATTTAAAAAGTATAGCAGTTGATGTCTGATGTAAACCAGTAAAATAATGTAATGTTATGATGTAATAGTAAAATAATTTGTATTTGTCTATAAATATGACTCAATTGAAAATTAAATTGCCATCACATATTTCTATATATTAACATGTTATTGTATACCAGGGTTTCACAAGGAGACGATGAATAGATTTTACGTATTTCAATTTTATTAATTATAATAACAGTTTGGGTATGTATAAATGCAAAGGTCGTTGGTTGTCGATAGGCAATTGTTTGCAGCATTCTATTAAAATCTTTCATTCCGTAGTCGTGTTCCATTTGGGAATTTATAAGACAACAAAATTGATTGAATCAATAATATTTATACAAAATTACTAGGAAATATGTGAATCTCGTTGAAGTTTGATCAGTTATGTTTTTGCTCCAAAATTGATTTGTTTATATATGCTTTAAATTCGATATTTTGAAAATTTAATCTGTTGAAACTGGTTTAACGTGGAAACATTCAATTCTACACTTGAAACAATAAAAAGAGGATATCAATGTTATTTACAAAAAAAAACGAAAATGTGTATTGGATTATAATATCATAGTAGATATTGATTTCTTGCAAGAAGAATTAATTGAATTAAAGGAGGATTTGGTATCCAAAATTAATATTACAAACATGTAAATTTTTCTAAATTTTTTGATTTGCAAAAGTTAATTTAATTCTTACTTATTACAAGAAATAAATTCTTAACTATTTTTATATAAAAAATATAAATATAAAATATAAATTCTATTGCTTTTTAGGGAAAGATATTCGGATTTCCCGCCTTGGCCAGCGTCTCTTCGCGCGCCATCCTCTTCGCCTTCAAAAAAAGCGAAACGATTTTCGATCCAACAACGAACACGACCAGAATTGTTCCTGCGTTTCCGTTTCCATCGACATTACCTTTTCCGCTCGACGAGACGATAAGTCCGAACTACGAAATACTCTTCGTTTATCAAACATTTTGCGTAGGAATTTTCGCCTGGTACTTAGGGAATTCCGACACGATAATCACCGGTCTGATAATACACTTATCGGCGCAGTTCAAAATAATAACGAACGCAGTGTCCACTGTCTTCGAACGCACGAATTCCACGAAAGGATTACACGACAGGGTGAAAGAATGCGTGGAACATCACCTGAAAATCATCGAGTTGCTCGACAATTTGGAGAGCACCTTTTCAACGCTGTTCCTGATACAATTCATGGGAAGTCTGACAGCTCTTTGTGTATCGCTTTATCAAACATCTCTAGTAATTAACGTAATCTTCAAATGGGCAAACAATTTACAAATTTTAATTTGTAGATGCCTGTGACTAATCCGACGTTCATTGCTATGTCAACCTTCACCATAGCAATGGGATTTCAAATATTCATTTACTGTTGGAACGGCAACGAGCTTTCGTGGCACAGCATTCAAGTAGCGAAAGCGGCTTACGAGAGCGATTGGGTAGACGCGGATGAAGACGTTAAGAGAAGCATCGGTATGATAATGATGCGATCGCAACGCATGTGTATTTTGACGGCTGGAAAATTCTCCGTCATTTCGCTTGACACATTTTCAAAGGTAACTTCAATCAAATGTTTAAAATAATTAAATTCATTTGTTTCCATAGATTCTGCGTGGATCGGTTTCTTATTTCATGGTTCTAAGAAAAATAAACGAAGATATAGAGTAAAATGTTTATTTGCAGCGTAGTTTTTATCACAAAATTATTTAAAAACAAAATTATCGTGAAGGGTTTTTCGTTTAATAGGTATAGCCTTTGTTAGAACTATGCACTCTGTATTTTCGAATGGAGCTCTTCACGAAGCGTTCAGCGTTATCGAGGGATTCCGTTGATCGTTTTGCCTCGTCACTGGGTAATCCGGACCACCAGAGTCGGAAGTTTACACAGACTGAAGAGAACGTGCACAGGATGCTAAAGATGACCGACGAAAGGGCCAAAACCGAAAATGCCGCCAACGTGTATATCGCTACCTTTGTTATTATAGCTACGGCCATCTCTGTAGCAATCTGCAAAAAATCACAATTAGATTAGTTTTAATTATTTCTTCTTTTATCGTACCACAAGTAGAGCTAGAGCAATGGTAGTAATGAAAATTCTTGCCTTGGTTTTGGGCACGAAGGTTGATAGAGCCGTTGGTTCTTCGTTGCCCTTAACAGGAACCAAGTAACCATCCATGCTGTTGTCTTTTATCGGTGAAGTTGCGTTCGTTTCTTGGCCTTCGCTCAGAGATCTTCCTTCCATCTGCGATTCGTGCTTGTAAACTGGGGAAGCGCTTAAAGCTCCGATGAACATCAAGGTGAAGATAAAGAATTTGCTCTCCATTCTAGAAACGAAATATTGCAATTTGTATATTTGTTGAATTATGAAAACGAAAAGTACTTACTTGCACGTTTTGGAAACAGTTTCGCTTGGAATGTTTGCTAAAGAAATGTGAGGTCCGGGGTGCTTTCTCAATGCTTTTATACCACCAATGTTATCACCCTTCTCACAACTCCCCACCATTTCTATTACCTGTCACTGATGTAATTTCAAAAAGCACCAAGTTTAGGTTATTTTTCCACGAAAATAGTTTTCAAAAATACAATGAAAATGAGTAGAAATACAAGCTATACCTTGCATAGTGCGGATTCAGTCAATATTCCAAATTGTTTAAAACTGGATTAATAGATATACATTCAAAAGAGATCTATTTTGTTATATCACTTTTTGAATTATGATTTATATAGAAAACTATATTTTGTTCAACTATAATTTTATTTTGAAATTCACTATATTGAAGAAAAATATTAAAAACCATTACAAAAGGCCCAACAAATATTGTTTATTGTTAATCAATTGTTTCTTATGTTTTTTGTTTGCAATTATTTATATAATTTTGTAGTCATAAATTTCTTAAAAATAAATAAAATACATAACATAGCAGTAAAATGCTAGCTTTTCCATGTATTATTATATATTTATTTACAACCTGCCAGAATGTGTTAATAAGTAAATATGTGACATATTAAAAATATAATGTGATAGATTTTGAAAAAAAATATATTGACGTAAAGTTATTAATTTGTGACATTGACGTAACCTACAGAATAAATTCATGTTTTTTCTTTATTAATATAAACTGAGAAATTTAGATAAAAATAAAATGAAAATGAGTAGAAATACAAGCTATACCTCGCATAGTGCGGATTCTGTCAATATTTCAAACTGTTTAAAACTGTATTAATCGCGGAACTATATACATTCATTTTAATTTGAAATTCATTATAGTGAATCCGGACTGATAGAAACCGTACTATGCGGCGTATATACATTTTGATATTTCCAAATATTAAAAAAATTACAAAAGGCCTAAAAATACGGTTTATTGTTAATCAATTGTTTCTTATGTTTTTTGTTTGCAATTATTTATATAATTTTGTAGTCATAAATTTGTTAAAAATAAATAAAATACATAACATAGCAGTAAAATGCTAGCTTTTCTATGTTTTATATTTATTTACAATCTTCTAGAATCTGTTAATAAGTAAACATGTGACATATTAAAAATATAATGTGATAGATTAAAAAAAAATATATTGATGTAAAGTTATTAATTTGTGACATTGACGTAACCTACAGAATAAATTCATGTTTTTTCTTTATTAATATAACCTGAGAAATTTAGATAAAAATACAATGAAAATGAGTAGAAATACAAGCTATACCTCGCATAGTGCGAATTCTGTCAATATTCCAAACTGTTTAAAACTGGATTAATCGCGGAACTATATACATTCATTTTAATTTGAAATTCATTATAGTGAATCCGGACTGATAGAAACCGTACTATGCGGCGTATATACATTTTGATATTTCCAAATATTAAAAAAAATACAAAAGGCCTAACAACTACGGTTTATTGTTAATCAATTGTTTCTTATGTTTTTTGTTTGCAATTATTTATATAATTTTGTAGTCATAAATTTCTTAAAAATAAATAAAATACACAACATACCAGTAAAATGCTAGCTTTGCTATGTTTTATATTTATTTACAAACTGCCAGAATCTGTTAATAAGTAGATATGTGACATATTAAAAATATAATGTGATACTTCTATATAAATTATATACAAATCTAAAAAGGTATAATTTTATTGAAATGAAATTTAGTTTCAATTCCAAAATTAATCAGCACTGAACGAAGCCGCACTATGCGAGGTATTGTTGTCCACAGTGTTCTAATATGATTCAATAAATATTACCAATAATTACAAAACTGATTGATACTTTCGACCATAAGGTATAATTATAAAAAATATCGAATTATAAAAAAATAAACAATAAATTTGTATATAATTTTGTCGAGTTATAATTTAGTTTTAGAAATTTTCAATATGAATCCGCTCGATCAATTAGTAAAACCTTGCTTAATGCTTAAGATTCGTTCCTAAATAAGCGCTAAATTCGACCTCTTCGTAGGCTTACTATAATTCATTCATTGTAGATACATATTATAAAATAATATTAAAGAAACTAGCTTTTCTAGGTGCCTGTATATCAATGTTAAAGCTCTAAACACTTGTATTTTTTTTTCAATAAAATTTTGGGAAATCGAACAAAAAAGAACCCTCCCATCCAGGTTACACATTAAATTTTTAAGTAACCTTTCTCTGCCCACGTCGGCTGTTTTAGAACTATGCGCACCTAGTAGAAAAGGTTGCCCTGCAATAAAATATGAATAAGTTTACGGTTGCTAAAAGTTATGAAATTTAGGAAGAATTGTAAATTTTTGGTAATACCTGTTCGTACAATTACAGGTATGAATTAGGTGGGAGGTTGGATATATAAGTTTTGAAATACACCCCAAGAGCATCAGACGTTCATCACAACCTAACAACACTTCTTAATACCTTTTGCAATATTTCATGTAAGTATATTTTTTCAACGTTCCTTACCTCACTTAAATTATTCATTTAATAAAATATAATTTAATTCCAGAATGGCAGCCAAATTCATCTTCGTCCTTGCTTTCTTTTTACTCTCATTGACAAACGCTGTCCCAATTCACACACCTCAACTTGATACATCATCTTCAACAGATGTTAATGCAACTTTTCCCGAATCCGACAATTATCCTGAAAACAGCTACGACGGATATTTGGCCACAGCTGGAAATTACGAAGAGCCAGGATTCATGATCACTTTCATACCGAAAACTAAGGTGAGCTACAATAGTTATTTAAATTTGAATAACATTTTATAAATTATTATTATTTTTTTAGATGGCAACTAACTTGGCTGCTGGGATTATTTCGAAAATCGCTGTGTACACTTTGGGCGCATTTACTTCTTTGTCTACTCTTGCCATCGGCTTCAGCATCCTCTGCACTTTCACTTCAGTCTGCTTCAATTACCAAATGTGGGTAGCTGGAATGGGCGAAAACGATGGAATGAGATCCTTAATCAAGTCTGATACTTTGAACGCCGCTGAAGATACCGTCAGCGAAGCTATTGATAAATTCAAGAAGATCCAAAGAGCTTTGAATTCTAATTATTAAACTGTTGAAACTTTGAATATTAACTGATAAATAAATTTAAATGTGATATGACGAACTTAAGATTTTATTATAAAAAAAATGTTGTTATAATCAGATTACAGTGAAACCTCGCATAACGAGCAAAATAAATTGTAAGAAAAATGACTCCAAATTGGAACGAATTATCATATATTACATTAGTTTATATGAAAATTGTTTCCATTGTATTACATAGTAACATAATCACAAAGTAACATATTGATATTCAATATTGACTCAATATTTAAGTTTAACACGTTTTAGTTAGTATACAATTAATTATAACTGAAGTCGACGGAAACATATAGAAATTATATTTGCTTAAAGGCTTTCAAAATGATAACATTAACGTGATTACTGGATGATAATGCATTTGATAATATAAATGATAATCAAAATGAGTTTCTAGATAAAATATATTATATTAAAATTAAAGTTTTATTACATTTCCTTCCTATTCAAATTAGATTTTGATACTGATCCTTTTAAATAAATTTCTCACCTAACTAAAATTCATTGTTTTAATATAAAAAAAAATGTATTTCTCAATTAGAGCAACACCTCGCATAGTGCGACTCCGATCAGTGTGGATTCATTATAGTACGGTTCACAAAATTCACAACAAACTAAATTTTAATTGTGCAAAATAAAAATAATTTCTAAAAAAATATTACACAACATTATTTTTTTATGCACATTTTTTTTACTATAGTTTATTTTATGCGGTTTTTAAGTCCTCACTTTGTGCGGATTCAAACAGCGAGGGATATTGATGGTATTCCAACGTTTCACAATATAATTTGACAAAAAAAAAATGTCAAAGTTGACATTAAATTGTACATTTAGAATCTTAAGAGCTTTTATACAACAATAATAACATTTATTGCAAGAAATTAACAAAAAATTCAACAAAATAAGAAAATTAAAACCAAATTGATTTGCTGCAAACATATTTATTATTTTCTAACAGAATTTAATGTAATTTTCCAACCACATTTTGATTCCTCGTAAATATCTAAATTTGTATTCTGCAATTTGTAATTTTACATACATTTAATATAACTTGATTTTGAATTATAAAAACTTGACTGGTTCCTATTTCTATTAAAAACGACAATTGCAAGTACATAGTCAATTATTTATTTCTTAAAAAAGTTATTTTATGGGACAAATTAGGATATAATCCGTATATAGCATAATTCATTCCAAAATTTTCAAATTTTTACTCCTATAGTATATATTTCAGTTTATTGAATATAATAGGTGTTAAAAAATATTGAAAATTTTCTATTTACGTTGTCTGTACTAATATTAGCATTTTCTTCAAATTGATGAATACGTTGTTTAATTTACGTTTAATAGCTATCAATATCATTTTGTCCAATTTAGTCAACTTAATTATACATACTTATTTCACCCTATAGACTTATAAAAATATCACGTAGTGAAATACTCCTATAGTGAAACAATTTTCCCCATTTAAACTAATGTAATATGTTCCATTTTGCGAGCCATTTTTCTTGCAATTTATTTTGCTCGTTGAGTGAAATGCTCATTATGCGAGCTGCTCGTTACGCGAGGTTCTACTGTATTGAATAAAAATAATAACAATTGTATTTTCATTGATCTAACTGATTTTCATAGACTTAAATTAGCACAATTTAATTGAATAAATAGACGAAATTGACTTAATTAATTTTAATTTGCACGTAAATGTAAAATAATTTCTTATAAAATACACACTGTTTAACTTGACTATAAACTATTTCAGTGGAAATTCTATAAAAAAAAATGATTCCTTAAAAATTGTTCAGTAATTCTTAAATTTTAAAAACCATTTTTTTCCTTCTGAGAATCTGCACGGTTGTCAACAACTTGTTGGAGCGATAATAGATTTGAGACAGGTGGGGGTGGTTGAGGTGGTATATAAACTCGGTAAAACTACCCCAAAAACATCACTCCTTCGGCAACATCCACGGACAACACCTGCCAAAAATCTTCAGACACGAATCAAGTAAGTAACATTTTCCATATATTTCTCAATATTATGAATTTTAACAATTAATTCTTCATTCCAGAATGGCAGTTAAATTCATCTTCGCATTTGCCTTCTTTTTCCTTGCTTTAACTAAAGCTAGCCCTGTTTACACACCTGAAAGTAAACCTGATGCATCATCTACAACGGCTGTTTACGTTCCTCATGCAACATTTCCCGAATCCAACACTTATCCTGAAAACAGTTACGATGGATATTTGGTACCAGTTGAAAACTACGAAGAGCCAGGATTCTTAGAGACTTTTGTACCAAAAACTAAGGTAAGTAATATCATTATATTTTAAACATGAACGATATTCTAAATATTTATTTTTTATATCTAGATGGCAACTAATATAGCTGTTGGACTCATTACTAAAATCGCCTTCTACACCATGGGCGCATTTGCTATTTTATCTACTCTTGCAATCGGCTTCAGCATCCTGTGCTCTTTCACTTCAGTCTGCTTTAATTTCCAAATGTGGTGGGCTGGATTTGGGAGATCCAATGAAATGCTTTCTTGGGACAACCTAAACGCTGCTGAAGATGCCGTACAACATGCCATAACCAAGTTCAAGAGACTCTAAAGAGCTGTTACTTCTGACTACTAATGACTTGTATTACTGAAACTTGTACGAAATTGTAAATGTGTAAATGTCTAATTGATGATGATGATATTAATAAAGAACAGAATCTAACAAATTTTCTTTGGTTTATTTATTTATAATATTTGTATATTTTCTTAAATCTGAATAACGTATTCAAGTAATATTTAGTAATTGTATTATCAAGCATGCCAATTACAGCTGTTAATACCAAACAACATTACAAACTGTAATATGAGTAGATTTTAAGATTTCTATCTAACAAACATTTATAGCTCATAAAAACATTCTCTTCTCGTTGTATTTCATTATACTACAATCAAGTAATCAAAGTACAAACATCAACATTAGTTTACCAATAGATTTTCATCTTCAAACACACAATGTGTAATTGTTGCTATGGAAATGTTTATGCAAGTTTAGCTACTCACAATTTCTAATAGTTGTTATGGAAATGTTCATAAGTTACTTTAGATACTAAAGTTTCAACAATTCAATAAAGAAGGACTATGAAGTGAACTAAAGAATCTTATTACTCTGTTTTTTTTAAATATTTCTGATATGTGCTAATTAAATAGATGAATTATTTGTATGAATGTTTCTGGCTAAATGAGCTTAAGCTCACATGTACGCCACCCTTTCATAACAAATACCATTGTATCTGCATTTTACACTAAATAAAGCATTTTTAAAATTGAATTTGAATTGTATGAATGTAAAATTAAATATCAAAAATGCAATACGTAATAATAATCGTAACCAAACAAGCAAATTACAACTAAGAAAACTCTAAATACAGCCAAAACTACATTTTAATAGAAATTTTATCAATCACAGTTTTCTTTTCATGAGCTTTTGAAATAGAGCGAAAATTCTCATAGCGAGAGTAATTTATTCCGCCAATATTCACACACTAAAATAGACACTGTTTAACTTGACTATAAACTATTTCAATGGAAATTCTGTAAAAAAAATGATTCTTTAAAAATTGTTCAGTAATTCTTAAATTTTAAAAACCATTTTGTTCTTTCTAGGAGTTGGCATGTTTGACAGCAACCTATTGAAACTGTAATAAGATTGGAACAAGTGGGGATGGTTCAGGTGGTATATAAACTCGGCAAAACTACCCCAAAAACATCATTCCTTCAGCAACATCCACGGACAACACCTGCTAAAAATCTTCAGACACAAATCAAGTAAGTAACATTTTCCAAATATTTCTCAATTTTCTGAATTTTAACAATTAATTCTTCATTACAGAATGGCAGCTAAATTCATCTTCGCATTTGCCTTCCTTTTCCTTGCTTTAACTAAAGCTAGCCCTGTTTACACACCTGAAAGTAAACCTGATGAGGCATCATCTACAACGGCTGTTTACGTTCCTCATGCAACCTTTCCCAAATCCGACACTTATCCTGAAAACAGTTACGATGGATATTTGGTACCAGTTGAAAACTATGAAGAGCCAGGATTCTTAGAGACTTTTGTACCAAAAACTAAGGTAAGCAATATCATTATATTTTAAATAAGAACGATATTCTAAATATTTATTTTTTCTATCTAGATGGCAACTAATATAGCTCTTGGACTCATTACTAAAATTGCCTTCTACTCCATGGGTGCATTTGCTACATTATCTACTCTTGCCATCGGCTTCAGCATCCTCTGCACGTTCACTTCAGTTTGCTTTAATTTCCAAATGTGGTGGGCCGGATTTGGGAGATCCAATGGTATGAGATCTTTGCTTTCTTCGGACAACCTCGACGCCGCAGAAGATGCCGTAAATAAGGCCTTAACTAAATTTAAAAGATTCCAAAGAGCTGTTACTTCTGACTACTAATTATATTGTTTTGAAATGTATATGAAACTTATACAAAATTGTAAATCTTTAAATTTATTTGTATTAATAAATAATATAATATAACGAATTTTACTTGAATATTTAATATATAAAAATAATCTGTCTGATTTCAATAAAATAATTTAAAAAAAAAAGTATTTCTAAAAAACAGTTTTTGACAAAAATTTGCCGTCGAAATTATCGTATTTCAAAATATAATAAATATTTCTAGAGAAATTGTATAAATGATCTGATTAGTAATCTAATCAATTGTATATTTGAAAACATATGTTTTCTATTCTCAAAAAAAATGGTGTATTCTAAGTACAAATGAGTACACCAAATGAGTACAAGCTTTAATAGTTTATTGACCAAACATCAATACAAAAGAAAAAAAGTAAATTCTATACATAAATAAATTCTAACATAAAATAAAAAATAAAAAATATTAATAGGCTGGCCTAATACTCCTATTATTTCGCGTTTTGCCATTACTTTAATACTAAGCATTCTATCTATAAATAATCTATAGTCTAGTTTTGATAATTATGCGAATTATGACTAGTCTAACTAAATAAAAATACGTGGGCTTTTCTACTAGTGCTGAAATTTAAACTATCAAATTTGAAACAATTAATCACTCTAAAAAAATACTCTATTGTAATTATAACTATAAACTCTTTCATTAAAGCCAAATGTAGAGGCTTTAGAAATTGCCTATTGCTATATTTGTACCTGTAGCTGCTTTATTAAATGAATAAGCTATAATACAGTAACAATTACTTTTGACATTTCCAAATATTTGATATTTTAAAAGTTTTCCGGCAATTCTTAGATTTTGAAAACCATTTTTGCCTTCTAAGAATCTGCACATCTCTTAACAACCTGGTGGTAAGATTATAAGTTAACAACAGATGGGGATGGTTTAGCTTTTACAATCTCCGGTACATACACTCAGTGCAACTACCCACGACAAGAGCACAACTTCAGAAATATTCAGAAGCAACTCTCGCTGAAAAAAATATTTATAAATCATTCAAGTAAGTAACTTTTATATCAATATTTAACAAATCGTAACTATAATGATTTACTTTCAGAATGCTATCTAGATTTATCTTTGCCCTTGCTTTATTTTTATTCTTGTCAATTTTTGATTACATTTACATTCACAAGGCATCATCTCCAACAGACGTTTACATTCCTAGATACAACTGTGTGCTCTTTTACTATTTTACGCTTGAATTTCCAATGGCGGTCGAGCGAATTTGGGAGATCTAATGAAATGAGATCATTAAATCTGTAAAGTTACATTTATTAATAAATAATGTAATATAACGAATTGTCTTTAGTTTATTACTTATTTGAATATAGAAAAATATTGTACCTGATTTTAATATTATATATTGGGATAATATATATATCGATATAGACAAAAAAACATTTTTTTCATTTACAACAATAAAACATAAAAAAATATAATTACTGCAATTGACTATTAATCATTTAATAAAAAAAATATTAATAAAAAACAGTTTTTGACATTAAGTAACAAAATATTTCAAAGCAACGTGTATTCTGATATTTATATTTTTGACATTAACTCACCAATTTTATGTTTGTAAACACTCATTTATAGCACCGTCTTCGCCTTACTCATGAATAAAGCATGTTAATACAATAAGTACACTTTTTTTTATATCATAGTATATTTAATTATAATATTATTCCTGCGAACATTAATTAAATATAATGGCGGTAGATATTTGTTTTTTGGTAAACTTCTCAATGGAAGTTTTTACCATTTTATTCTTCTGCAATTTGTTGGTTGGTTGTCGTCTTGTAGTATATTGATGCTCTGCGATTCCACTATTCCCTTTGTCTGTATATCTGCTGCTATTCTTAACAATGTCATTGTCCATCGACTTAGTCGTAGGTCCATATGCTGAACCTCATTCATTTCACTGTCCATCTGTGATGAACGAAGGCTCTATTGTTACAAGCACGGAGAAGGCTCACAAAAGGGCCTGCCTTGGTCAGAATTCTGACCGGCGCCCACGAAATCGATGGTAGGGCGACTTAACCATTCGGCTATTAGTCGCTCATATACTCTAATTAAAGACAAATATACAAGCTTTAATACGCGTATATTCGAAGTTCTGTAGTTGTTACAATTTTGTTAAATTTAAAAATCTTCCGAAAATATAAATCCGCTATATAAATAATATATAGTCTAATTAAAGCTAATTCAAATCCATAGCTAATGTCATTTGATTGTAATAATTAGTCAATAATAAAAATATAATATTCTTGTTTCATTTTTTTAAGACAACAAATCATGCTAATTATGATTATTCTAACTAAATCAAAATACCCGGGTTTTATTGTAAGGTGTTTTGTCGATTTTTCAGAAATTATCGTTTAGTTTTAATAAACTGTCAAATTAGAAAACAAAAGACAGATTAAAAAAGTAATGTTTTCCAATTATTTGAAGTATCTGTAGTCATAGAATACAGTGAAACCTCGATTATCGAGGACTAAGCATAACAAGTAATTCGCATAACGAACAAAACTAATTGTAACAGAAATGACTCGCCTAACGAGCCACGTTTCGCATAACAAGTGACGATGAGAAAAGAAGTCTCGGATTATGTGTGAAAAGAGAATTAAAAAAATTGGGTGTGTATCATAAATAATAAACTAATTGTTTCGTTTTTTTTATTTTCTTTGCATTAACATACAAAATGTTTTTTCAATATTTTTTTGAAAAATATATCATGGAAATCGTAATTTACATTAATTTAAATCGGAAAAATTGTTTCGCTTGACGAGTAAGATTCTGGAACGAATTATGCACGTTCCACCGTACTTTAAATAAATGACAATTTAGAGACTTTAATAATCGCGTAATTTAAGATTTCCATTTTATCTGATTTATTTTGCATGAATAAACTATAATAAATTCACATATACATTTACATATTTTGACATTGCAAATTAGGGGATTATTAAATATTTTATAACATAAATATGACATATAGTATTAATTATATTGTAAATACTAAGAGTTTGATTATTTAACGGTTTTTAACAATTCTTACATTTTGAAAACCATTTTGTCCTGCTTAGAATCTGCACGTTTACCTCATAATAAATTTGGAGATGGTATATTCTAGACCAATAATATTACTCCTTCAGCAACATTCACAATTCAGCAACATTCAACAATTATCCATGATTTATGACCCACAGAGTCATGCCGTCCTTAACGTGTTAAAGTTTATAATTGACGAAACATATTTGAGGCTCTACACAGTCAGGTGCGTGCATTATACATAATTTATGACCCACCGGTGGGTCATGCCGTCGTCAACGTGTTAACATATATTTTTTACATTAGGATCTTTGCTTGGCGAATAATAATATAGAATGTGAAGATAGTGCTTTTTTGTGTTTTAAAATATATTTTTCATATTTGTCAACACGAAATACACGCGTATTAAAGCCTTTAATTTTGGCTTTAATTAGTATATTAATAGCTACAATTAGCTTTCTTGATTATAATATAGTTAGTACTGTTATATATACTAACTATTTTAAGAAAATATGTCGAAATTATTATATAATTAAGGAACTATAGAATATTTGCTAAATTTTGTTATTTATTAATATAATAATCAATATTATGATCAATTTACACATTTTCAATATCATATAAGTTTTATAAAAATTTCAGGAACATAGGCGCTTAGTAATCAGAAGTAACAGCTCTTTGCAGTCTTTTGAACTTAGTTAATGCGTTTTGGACAGCGTCTTCAGCAGCGTTTAGGTTCTCTGAAGATAGCAATGATCGCATTCCATTAGATCTACCAAATCCGGCCCACCACATTTGGAAATTGAAGCAGACTGAAGTAAAAGAGCACAGGATGCTGAGGCCGATGGCAAGAACAGACAGAGATGCAAATGCGCCCATGGAATAGAAGGCAATTTTCGTAATGAGGCCAAGAGCTAAATGAGTGGCAATCTGGAGGAACAAAATGTAATTTAGAATATAGTTTATAATAAAAGAATATAATATTGCTTACCTTAGTTTTTGGTATGAAAGTCTCTAAGAATCCTGGTTCTTCGTAGTTTCCAGCTGGGACCAAATATCCATCGTAACTGTTTTCAGGATAAGTTTTGGAATCGGGAAATGTGGCATGAGGAACGTAAACACCCGTTGAAGATGATGCATCAGGTGAGTAAACAGGACTAGCTTTGGCTAATGAGAGTGAAACGAAGGCAAGGACGAAGATGAATTTAGCTGCCATTCTGGAATTAAATTATATAATAGTTAAATAATTGAAAAAAACTTGAAGAATGTTACTTACTTGATTTGTTTATGTTGGTTTTAGCAAGTGTTGCTTGTGAATGTTGCTGAGGATGTGATGTTTTTGGGGTGGTTTCAGAGAGTTTATATACCATCCATCCCCACCTATCTCAAACGGTTTATCATTCAAACAGGTTGGTTACTTTCTTAGAAGGAAAAATTGTGCTTAAAGTTAAAAAAAAATTGAAATTAGTTTAGGGATCAAATGCTTTGAATTTTCAATATAATTGTTCTTATAATCAATAATTATGTTAGGAAATATGTGTTTAAATAAAAAGGGATTACTGTATGCGCATATTAATGCATTTATATTTGGATTAAACTATTGATAATTACAATTAGCGACTTGATTATCCAGTAATACATGAAAATATGATATACTTAATACAAAACGTTTTAAATTCATGTATTCACAGATTTGTTATTATTATTTTATGGCTATAGTAATCTATTTTTTTCAAAATTCTTATTTCTCAAAAAAAAGTATTCGCGCTTTATCTTCTTAGGATAAGCAGACTATAATGTTGTTAGATTGTTTTGTCTAACCGTTAGAAGAAATTAGTCTTAGTAATAAGATTAAAGGAACAACTACAAAGCCTTAGTAATAAACATATTATTAGTTTATATAATAAAG